GCACTGAGTTGCCGCCATGTGATTGGCTGATTAGAAATTAAGTGTTAACGAGCAGTTGGACAGGTGTACCTAATAAAGTGGCCGGTGAGTGTACATTTCACTTGCCTCAAGGTCAAACATTTAAAAATATGGTGATATTGTGCAATATCATGGGATGAATCACTTTCAGCTACTGCCATTTCTAATTTGAGATATTTTGCTAACAAACAAATGCACAAAAACATAACTGTCTGATTCTGCCTTTCGACAGAGGTATTATTATCAATGATACATAATTGTTTTTTAATCTTGATGACACACTATGCTGATAACAAGTCTACTTGTCCCACTTGACAGACGGTTCAAGCTAACCACACCAACGTGCATTATACTGTTACGGCAGTGATGAGTCCAGTCTCTATGTACAAGCCTTACAAGACCTCAGTGATCAAAACAGAAGTCAAATGTTACCCAGAGAGCTACCATATGAGCAGTAGTGGCTCCAACTCCGTCCCTTCTGACACACATCTCTACAAAGAGACACGAAGACAACTGCAGGACGGCAACCAGGAACTGGAAGCTTTGGGTTTGATATCTGGAGAAAACAGGACAGATAACGACTCTGCAGATGTTCAGATCGAGTGCATTTCTGTCAGTTCCCAAGAAGAGGAAAGAGGGTCCATATCACCGTACGACTCCCCACACTTTGTGTTGTTGGATATGGGAGATGGAGACATGGTCACTGGTTATTCTGAGAAAAAGAGGGTCTTTTAACTAACTTTTTTCAGGGTTGAAACAGAAGCAGGAAGTTTTAATGCAAAGCTAAGCTCGAACATATCTCAGGGGTCACAATTAGAGGCTAAAATTATACTCTCAGGAAGTTGAACATACTCAGGTTTTTCTTTTAAGCAGCCAGATCAGAAGCACTGATGAACGTTCTAATTTTACAGTCAAGTGAGTGAGAGAGACAGTGAGACAGATCAGGTAAACAAGCTGATCTTCTCATCACCTTCCAGACATTTGTAATTTGCACTCTATTAAAATGAGATTATAATCCAAAGGTATTTTGTTAATTGTGTGAAGTATTGTGGTCTGTGTCAAATTTTATGCTTTTATTTCAGTGGCAGGTCACCCATCTGCAAACAGCAGGTATTATATGTGAACAGTTTTTGCCACATGTGCATTTGTACTGACCAGATTAATGCTCTGAAGTTTGGATTGATTATTTGCACTACAAAATAGATTAAGAGCAGTATTGGCAATGTTATGAGCTGTAACCAAATGTTTATTTGTTGCGAGGAAATCTTTTTGTTCTAGCTCCATAAGCAAAAATGTATACAAATATTCTTTTTAATATCTGTGAACTGCAATAGGATGGTAACACATTATACTGCCTTTTAAGATAGAACCCTTAAACAGCCAGGATATATATTTAGTGATTGCTGCAATGACAGAAAAATGTTTGACGTTTGCTCAAACTCCCACACCCAAAACAATCATCTGCTGCTGAAAAATGTGTGAYCTGCAAAACTGGATCTGTGATGATTTTTTGTCTTTTTGTTTGAGCAGAGTTGAACAGAGTTGCTCATTTTTATTTTGAAGGGAATGTGTTTATATATTTTATTAAAAGTCTGTATTCAGCTGCTACTATTTCAATAAATTTGTATTCCATAAACAAAAAAATGTATTTCTGTTGCACCATGTTGATTTAACAGGTCACACACTGACTTTAAGCAGCACAGAAAATGTCCTGGCTTCACTTCACATTCATTTGCATAAGAGCAGGAAAGTTAACACGTTGCCCTGCCGTACACTTTCTGCTCTGAAGACTGATAATCTTCATTAACTTTGGAAAAAGGACAGATGACAAATTTCAATCTGAATTATGCTTTTAATAAAGATATGAAACTTACTGACTGTTCACCTGCAGACAGAAATCGAGTTTCGATCAGGTTTCCCAAGCTGCTTCAGAGGATGTGAAATTCCTTTTTGCTCTTTTCAATTAACCATTTCTAGATAAATGAAGAAAGTCCAATTTAATCTGCATTCTGCAGATTAAAGACTCATGCCTTGAATGTTTGTTCTCAAGTTCAACATTTGCTTTTCCTGTCGAGTTTTTTCCTCCTTGAACGCCATCTTGTTGGCTTTCTTCTCAACTCTTCTCTCCTGAACAAAAAAAAAGAGAACAAAATACAACAGTTAATAAGTCCCAATATTCAGATTTTCATTTTTTGTCAGTGTTCTCTACATAGCCTGAATTGTTCCTGAATCATAAGAAAATATATGAAAGGTGCCTGTGGTAAATATTTAGGTTTTAGTTTATAGTTGAAGTAACCTTACAGAATTACAACAACTTTGATAACAAATCCCTACTAAAGCTTTTTTATTATTATTTTCTTCAAAAATCAATAAAGTACAAGTTCACTGCTGTCAGCTTCAACCAGGTTAAGGAGGAATATTTTCAGTCACTAAGTAAACCAAACACTAGGGAGAACAAGGCAGTGTAACTCTTAGGGCCAGTTCTGGCAGACAACACTTCTGCGTCAGAGAGCACCATGTCTGCACAGAGGTTAGGAAATTTTAAATTTAAACTAATTAACTAGATACCATATAGCGGTAGCATATATGACCCCTGCACATGCACACAGCACCAATGCATCAGAATTCAGACGTCACAAGAACAGATTTATCGTTTGGGGTGCTCATCTGTGAAATAGTTTTGGGATTATAAGCATTTTTAAACGTCCAGAAACACCCTTTTCAGATGGAGCCCCCACCTCAAATATAGAGTCTATTGTAAAACAGTTGACTGGTGCAGTGTAAATTGGCCACATCTACACTTGTACCAAAACCGTTTGTGTTGCTGTTTAAATATAAGCAGTGTTCATTACCCTTTACCTGTTCAGATCTAATACCAGTTAATAATGACACGTGAATGTTTCAGTGAGCCATACAAAACCATTCGGACACAGCTGTCAACTGTTTAGCTTTTTTATGTGCCTTCCAACAGGCATCAGCCAAGCAGTGGCCAGAACCCGGAAACCCATTCAGCAAACAAACCCCTTCACATCCTGACTCCGCCTCATGACATACTGTATGCTAAAGGGRGCAGGCTACCTTTATATGGAGTCAAAAATGTCCGACATTATTCCTCACCCTAATGTTTGATCATGCTTCTTATATGTGTTGTTTTAAATCAGACATGTATCTCACTAAAAGCCTCCTGAGTGTGTGGAACCCTGATCAAGAATTCCACAACCCAGTCTGCACATAAAATCATCAATTCAATCAGAAATAACCACATTATAAAAAGATATTACTGTTCACCTAATAAAAGACTATACAATGTGTAGTGTCTTTATAAATCAGTAGTGAACAACCCCAATAAATTCCTTCATTACGGTAGACCAAAAATCTCTGGGGAAAAAAATAAATAAATAACAAGAGAAAGAAAAATAATAATAAACAGTATGAAAACAATATGACCACCACTTTGCATGCAGGGGTCATAATAAATAAGTTGGGAACGTGAGACTCCGGTTAGTATTTGCCTATAAAGAGTTCATTAGCAAGGACCACGCCATGAAACGAGTTTAAAGAATTTATTAAAGGAAGGGACGAAGGGATGAATGACGAGATGTCTGAGGAGGTGCGTGCATGAAGACTCGAAAAGAATCAGAGTGGGGCACAGTCTTCAGTAAAAGCTCTCCTGAGCCTGCGTAGAACCCCCACAGCTGGAACCTGAAATGGAAGGGATTAGGAGGCAGTTTTCAGGTAGAGATGGAGGAGAAAAGGGATGAGGGGATGATGAAGAGATTAAGGGACGAAAAGAAAGTGTGGATGAAAAGAAGGAGTGGATAAAGGGAAGGAGGAATGGGCGAAGGGATGAGGGGACGGAAGGGATTAGGAAGTGATTTAGGTAGAGATGGTGGAGAAAATGCGATGAGAGTAGACAACTTCCGGTCACAACAACGTTGTGAAGGCGCTCCTGACGGAATCCAAGTAAGTAACCCCCAAAGCAAATGGAGTAATCTGTAAATGTTTGAGTTCATAAAGAGAAGGGGGTTAAATGCTCACTGGGATATCCTTTTGACTTCCTCTGGGCAACGAGGTAAGAGGGAACAACTACGAAGGCTAAAGCTAACAAGTAGCAGAGGAGCTAGCATCGAGTCCACAACAAAGGGCGACATGGAATTGATCCTGCAAGAGCTGAGAGGATTTCGAAAAGAAAACAAAGAACTGGAATCGATAAAAGAAAAATTAACCAAGGTCAATAATAGAATGAGTGAAGCGGAAGAGCGCATTGGGAAGCTAGAGGACAGAACTCAGAAGAGGTTCTGACTGACATGTTGAAGCTGAACATACAGCTAGAAGATAAACTAACTGAGCTAGAGAGTCAATCCAGGCATGAAAATGTAAGAATCTACAGAGTTCCAGAGGGGGCTGAAAGTGAATACGTTACGGTGGCAGCATTCATAAAGAGTCTCCTCCGAGACGGATTAAAGCTCTCCGATGGCCTAGCCAACATCCATATTGAAAGAGCACATCGCTCATTGGGGCCTCGACCACCAGAAGGCAAGCCACCTCACTCCATCATAGTAAAGTTTTTGAGTTTCAAGACAAAAGAAGCTATCAGCCGAAAAGCATGGCAAATTAAAGGTCTCATATCATGCTTTTAAATCCTTCTTTTTCACGTCTAAATCATTCACTTATGGTCTATTTAAAATAAAACTGCAACGCTTTGGTCTTAATTCCTTGTTTTTGTTGCTCCACAGGCTCCTTGCTTTCCATGCTTTACCCCTGTTCTGAGTTGCGCCTCAGAGCAAGCTGTTTTGGTGCGGTCTCTTTAAATGCAAGTGAGATATTTCACACCCCGCCCCTCCAGGTCGCTGAGTGTTCGACTCCACCCCGTTCAGCCATGTTTGTAGTTTCATAGCAAAAACACAGTTATCTACCGACTAAAAACTTTTTTTTAAGATAAAATCAGATAAGACAAAACTTTATTGATCCCACAGTCTGGAAGTTTGCACATCACTGCAGCTTAATACAAGAG